TTTGGGGTTTTTTTGTTGTTGCTTTTTTGCTTTTTTGTGTTGCCAATTAACAATTTAACTACAGCCAAACAACTACCTAGCAGAAAAGCTAATGTATGGATTTTTAATGATATTTTACAGCTATTTCATGGGAAAAAAAACAGATAGAGATAAAAAAAAAAAAAAAGAATTCTTCATAAAGTGAAGAACTTCTTCTAAGCGGACTATTACAGTTAACAACAACAAAGTGTCTTCAATCAAAAGACTCTTCAAATCTGGTGCAAGAAAGAGCAATTCAGAAAATCCGTTCTGCCTATAGGCCTTAAAATCAACAACAAAAACTTTATACAATATATAATTCATCTTTGGGATTACATTTTTATTTTTTAAATTAATTGGGATAACTGTTTTAGAATACTGAACCTGCTAATGTTATTTTGTTAAACTATAGCTTTCTGGGAATTTATGTATTTACTCTGAAGTGCTGTGCATATACATTTTTACACACACTTATTCATTTTGGCTTTCATTGACCTACTTATGTTGAATCAACTGGTTTTACCATGCATTTGACTGACAAAAGTAGGGAGTCCGTCAGGAGGAGAAACATAAGAGTGCTGGGTAGTTTATGGTTTTAATTTTCTTTACTGAGAATATGATGCATTTTACAGCAGCAAATTGCTGCTTTTATCCTTGTTTTTTGCTGGTTGCCAGAGAAACCAGATGATGATATGAATATGTCCCTACTTTTGCTGTGCTTCAAGTTGACTGGACATTGAGCAACAGGACATCTTACACGTCCAAAAATGAAATTTTTGTCACTGCTCCATGGTGTGATATTACATATGGTTTCTTAGGCTTGCATCAGAAGCAGTGGCTGTAAAGAAATGTATTATGTTCAAAGGCCTAAAAGTGTAATAGAAATTCATGCACTGTGGGTCAGATTACATTTGTGTATTCCTTACAGAAGAAAATCATACTGTCATTTGAAACAAATGGAAGACTCTTAGGATGTTTCATTAGACAGGCTTTGTCATATGAAAAATGTATTAAAGGGAAGCATTACAAAGCCTATTATAGTGCCTACACTGGCCTGTGCGCCAATGTTTGTCTTCATTTACCTGATTTGAATGCTTCTTAAATCAATTCATAGATAAAGAAAAAATACTGTTGTTTATAATTTATCTTAAAAGGTATATCAGACTTAATCTCCTAATTACAAAGCCATCTACATACATCCGCAATACAAAGACAGGTGTACATAATTCCTAAGGATATTCAAAGTGATTTAAGTGGATGGGATAAAAAAAGAGCCTGTTTGTTTTGCAATTTCGATTTGTTTTTAAATATCTAATCTGAATAAAAATTCATGTTTGTCAACGCTATATATATTTTTATACATTTGAAATCATTTAAGTGTCAGATTAATATATAATTCTGATGGCCAGAGACCTTGTACTTCAAACAATGAACATTGCCTATAAACTTCTAAGAACCAAAAAGTCAAAGTTAAACTTTATTTTAAATATTTTCTGTTTCTTCCCAACAAATTAAAATAATAACCAGAAAGCTTCTGCAAGTGCAGTGTCTTAAAAATAATTATATCATGACCGTACAAAGTGTCAATGTTTAATCAGGTCACCCACAGCAATGCTGCAATTTTATTGGTAAAAGGTTTATATAATTCAGCATAACTAACAATTTTAAGGTTTCCTCCAGGTACTTTGGCTCCCTGCCACAATCCAAATAAAAACATCTTAGGTTATTTTTTTATTTCAAATTGCACCTATTAGTGACAGTTTTTTGTTTGTTTGTTGTTTTTGTTTTTTGTGTGGCAGCTTTTTTCTTTTTCTTTTTTTTTTGCTGGCCTGTTTTCCCATAATTGCTGGACAGCTGCATGGCTTACATTTATTATTATGTAAATTAAATTTGAATAATAAAAGCATTTATCTATGTAAATTTATAAGTGGTGAGAGGAAAGTCTTCTGTGCTTTCTTTTTGCAAAAATCAAACGTTTTAAGAGGCTAATCTAGTCAGAAAAAATAAATAAACAAACAGTCTAGATAACCTGTAAAACTGAACTTAAACTATACATACAATCATTGCTATGAAATATGGTGACTGCAGCATAATGCAGAGGGTAGGATTTTTTTTACCAGTGAAATGAAGGGGTCAAGGATAAGGAAGTCTATTAAGCAAACTTTTTTCTGCAAACCCATTATTTGTTTTTACAGTAATGTACAGCAACAGGTGCATTAAATGTCCTACATATTTTTTAAGCCTTCAAAGATAAACTTTAGGTAGATATATGAGAAGATAATATCTTTGGCACCATGCAGTATTAATTTGTTATAAAATATTAGTTGTTTTCTTCCAACACAAAGAAAGAATTCACTGCGACACCGCCTCTCCCCATGTGGGTGCCCATTTCATGACATCGCTATGGAGCCGCTGCAGCAATGGTATCACACCATTCCTGAAAACAATTTTTTTTGTAATTCAGCCACCACCTAAATAAATAACAGTTGTTGTTGCTGTGCACAATAGGTGCTAAAAGAGAGACTTTCTTTTAACTTTGAGCAGAAATGACCGCGCTGTGCCTCATTTAACCGCTCCCTGATTGCAAGAAGGGGGCGTGTTGTTTACTGGTCAGGCATTGGAGAGGGTGGGTCATGATACATAGCTCTATATAGACCAGAGTTGGTCACTGTTTTTTTGTTTTATTTTTTTTTTCCAGAATAGGGAGGATCTGCTGTTTTGAGAGCAAATTTTATGAAGATGCATGAATCACGTGAAATACAGATGTGTGCATGATTTAGATGAAGATTAAAACATAGTTAAAAGCTCAAAATGTTGCTTTTTCATTCAGGCTCTTTTATTGGTATAGATTTTGTTAATTAAAAGCTTAAAGTCTTTTAGATTTGCTGAAACCCATTTTGAAGTGAAAAAATTCTCAAACATAAAGATAGCAAAAAAGTGTTTGTGCACTTGTAACTCCCTCTGTTTATGAATAAAAGGGGTATCGCCAGTGGATCATTTTTGATCGTGTGTCATAAGTGTCACATGTTACACCAATATGCATCAAAGGCATGTCAGACTTGACTTTTCCATTGATGGATTCCCTACACGGTTTTCTAAAGCGGCAAGGAGGCAGCTCGGCATGATTGATCAACCAATATAATTTCAAATAAACTGATCTACTGCACAGCAACTCTAACTTCTACTCAGTACTTCACAGACATGCCTTCAGAATATCAAGGTAAACAAAACTTCCTGTTCTTAAGCATAAACAAGGACATAGCTTCAAGGTAAGAACTGGTGTAAATATCAGTACGGTATATGAAAATTCAGATTTCCAGCAACTCCACAGCCACATCTGAAAGCCTGGGTAGCTTTGAATACCAACGCTCATATTACCATATATTCTGAGGGCTTTTCCAGTCTTCTCCATTTTAGAATATGACATTTATCATGTTTTTTTCATAAAATATCTTGGACCTTTCTTCATTACTGCACACTTCTGGGAATTGCTAACTAGCCTAGATGTAGTAGTCAACCTCTTTGTTTACCCCCTGTGAACATGCACAGTCACATACAGTACCTCCTTTGGTATTATAAAGGAGGTACTTTGGTATTATAAATATACATGAAGGGCTTTATTCACTAAAAAATAAAGTGTACCCAAAAATAACAAATAATACACCAGCAGTTTTGGTCATCTTTCCCCAAAAACTTTTTATGCAACTAAATTAGTTACCAGCGTATAGATAATAATAACAAACTGTGGGAAATAATGTGACCATCCACCTTAAATGTGAGATATGACCAGGTAACAACCCAGGCAGAAGAATTATCATAATCTTGTTAAGCAACTGGGTAAACTGGTTTGGTGTATCAAAGTACTTCCTTTTTATTTAAATGTGCATTCTATGGAACATTATTCTGATTTCAAAGCAGGAGAGACTTTATCATACCATCAGTTATTTTCTACTCCTTATTCATCCCTTTGTGAGGTTGCTAAATGATAAAAGTACTCCTGTTGCACAGAGCCTGAGCAAAAATTACCTTCCTAGAAGAAGGGCAAGACTGTCTCTAAAGTTATGATCCACAGTATTTACCCTTCAGGTAAAGTTTTTCAAAACTACCCTGGTTCCACATGAAAGAAGTTACCGTTAAAAAAACTGCAGATTATGTTGAATTATGGATGAAATTGGAATATTCTGCTTTATATCCTATTCACCTCTACCTTCATTTGATTTTATTGGAATGTATAACCTGGTGGTAGTGATGAAGGCAAATTATTAAGAAGCTTTAGTGTGTGCACTTGTCACTCTTTTTTTTGCAAATGGGTTATTTATGTACATTGCTTGAGGCAAACAAGAAATTATACAAACGCATGAAGCAATCATCTTGTGTATAAACGGATTATCTGCTTCAATGTATTGATCTACAAATGACCATTTGTGCAGATTTGTGCCAGTCATTGCGCATCTGATCCCTTCTGCACAAAGTAAACATACTGTTTCATGCATCTGTGCTGTAAGCACACAAAGATGTGAGTGTAGACATACACTGTTGGAGCCACACCTCTTGGCCACATGGGGAAATCTCTAAAATATAGATCAAAAGGCAGAATTTCTGTCAGGCATTACTAATCTTTTGATGAGAGGTTTTAAAGGCTGCCTTTGAACTGCTTTAGTTTTTTAATTAAAGGGCAACATGCAAAAGACAAAAATCCAAATAATAAATTCTCTGTCAAGCATAGAATATTGACCTCCCTGGATTAGTATAAAGAGCAGGCATAACAAGAATACATTTTCTCATATATTTGTCTCTAACTCAGTTGCATCAGTAAACCTCTGCACATATGAAATAAAGTTCTAATTTTAAAAGTAATAATGCATTGTCAAGTATATATATTGACAATATGTGTCAATAGATGTTGTGTTTAATAAATCTCTGAATGGGGCATGACCTATAATTGCTTAAAGGGATACATAAACACTTTTCATGTGTCCTACCTTGTCGGACATCTCTGGGTGCTATAGCAATTGCCTCATTGGAGTGAAGCTCAGTTACACAGCAGTCATCTGGAACATGGGAGCCATTGCTGAAACTGTGTGGTGTCTCCGGCAGTAGAGGTATTGGTGGTGCCATGATGTTGTGATTAGGACAAATACACCCTGTCTGGGTCATCCCACAAACATCTCCATCAGGTGTCTCCAGGTCCCCATTGGTATCTGACCGCAGGCATTCCTCAAACCAACGGCAAAGTACACCGCAGGTAAATTGACTGGAATTCTCGTTGTTGATGAGCAATACCTCCACTAGCCTCTGCTCCAGCAATTCCTTGGTTACCTGAGCCTCATCTGCAAGAGGATGTTTCGTCAGACATATCTGCACAAAGTTTTTATCAAACTGCAGGAAGGAGTATGGTCTGTCTGTGGTTAAGGTGCTGCCACAGAGATCAACAACTTCTTGATCCCTGGCTGTTGTTGTCTGTAGATGAAGAGGGCAGCTTTGATTGGCTAGGTGGTGGTCCAGTGAAAGGAGCATAGGATGGTGCATTTGGCAGATGATAGGATTTCGGGTAAAGCGAAGGTAGAGGGAATATTTTGTAGGATCTGGATTCTCCAAGGACCATGAGCAACCAGGTTTCCTGAAGGGAAAAAGCTCCCTTAGGGAGAAAGAACCGTAGAGCACCCCTGCTACAAGGCTGGAACATGATGAGGAGATGGGTGAGGGTCCTCCATTTGCCCCTGTGCTGGGGATGCTATCCACAGCTCCATGGGCAACCTCGGCTAGGGTACAGAGTGGAGCTAGAGCAAGGGCAGACAGAGCAGCCAGGGCCCCAGCCACAGCCAGGAGGGAGGACAGCACAGACAGACACACCCCACCAGCAGTGTTCATCCTATGACATTCGTCCTGCAGGGGAAGAGAGAAGAGAACAAATTAAGATTAGACAGACTTGAGAGCATCTGGAAATCAAAATGGCATGGATAAAAGAATGACTACAATATATAATGCAAGTTAATACTGAAGAAGTATGTTATGTTGGAAATGTTTGTGCAATATGCCCCAGGGGATAACATAACCAACATTAAGACAGTAGTTCTGAAGTTTTTCAAAGCACAGTCGCACACAAGAACTGTCAAAAACACAAACACATCCCTGCTGGGCTGGATTAAAGGGACTGATGACTTGGCTGTTGAGACACGTACTGTGGGGTCTGCTCTACCTTTTCCTGCTGATATGTGCACAGAAACATTTGTGTGCACACAAACACACTTCTATGCACACACACTCCAATCCTGCTGAGCAGCTCCCCTAAGGTTCTGGCAAACTATTACCATCACTGACACAGTGAGGGTCTGCCAAAAGCCTGATTTTGACTCATAGAGTGTGCACACATGATGCTGAAAAAAACCTCTCTGCAGACAATATTTAGCTTCAAACTACTTTAAGAGTTACGATGTTTCCGGTATAGCTCGTTTCAATCACCAAAGTAAATACAGTATGTGATATCAGGATGATTAGCTTGGGATAAACCATGTTTGCCCCAACAAACAACATAAACCTTATAAAAAATAATGCTTCTTTTTCTGAAACATTTCAGCATTGGACATGCTCACATTCTTTTGGTACAAATTCCTTACAGAAGTTTTACTCTTGAAAATGAAAATGTGATATTCATGAGTACTTTGCATTGCATTGTTTTACAACTTCAGCAGTTCTACAAAAATCTAAAAAACTGCACTGTATTTACCCCACCTAATACAAGGCTTTGTGTTGCCATCTATTGCAATAAATCAGGCTGTTACGTCTTTGTGTCCTCTATCTTTGCACATTTTCTTTGCATATTATCTCAAGCACATTCAGATTAGATGGTGGGTATTAGTGAAAAGCAATTTTGAAGTCCTACTGCTTTGAATCACTTTAACACATGAATATCCTTAGATCAAAAGATCACAACTGCAGCTCCGGCTGCATATTTGTTGTGGTTGTCATAATAGATTATGAATTCCAACCATTATTTTTAGCGTTTTTGTGTCAACAGATTTTTATCCTTGATTGCACCTATATTCCTGCCTAATAAAAGCATCCTTATGCTGCCAACCATTACAACACGTGTGATGGTGTTTTTGCCAACCAAAAAAATAAATAAATACATAAATCCATACTGTTTGTTTAATCTGACCAGAACACTTCAGCATGTATTGTATCCCCTTAATGGCTTTAGAAACACTCTGAATGGGACATTTCAATATCCTTCAACAGAGGAAAACTGTCATTATATCTACACTTCAACATTATGATGTTTTACACCAAATTTTTCAAAATTCTAAGTTCGTGTTTGGTTTATAAGAAAATATAACACACTTCAAGAGATATAAACAATTTTATAGGGCAAAACTTCCACCAAAATATAAAGATATAACCATGCTTAAGGATCTTAGCCAATAAAGTGTTTGGAATAACCATCCTAGATTCTGGGGAAACGAACTGTAAAATGATTGAATTTCTATGTGTTTTATAAAATAACTTAGAATAGAGCTTATATCAATTAGATTTAGTACTCTTTGTTGCAGAGAAACCTTCAACAACACTGAAAATTGCAACAAAAATAGATATTTCATAGCTTTATTATTTTAAATAAACTTTGAAAACTAGAATAAAAACAGAAAACAGAGGGCATTGTTAAAAAGCCACTTAAACTTCTTCATCTGTATCCATCATAACTCTGGATTGAAAGGCACTTTAAAGTTTGCAATTTACAAAACACTCCATTTGCCTGAGGATGTTCTACTGTTGGCTCTGATGTTTGGACCAGAAAGGTTGCACACATTAAAAAAATTAGGTTATGAGAATTTCAGCTGCTGGATGCCTGATTGTATTTGGCAGACCCTTAGATTCAGTTTATATGCCTGCCAATGGGCATAGTTTTCACAAAGTAAAATTGAAGATATTACAGATCACAAATCTAATGAAGTTTTGGTTGTACAAGCTACAAAAACACTAAAAACACAGATGAAAACATTTTTTTTTTCCTCTACTGAATATATATCAGACACCGCTCTGTAACAAACCATCATCAAAATGGAAAATATTGCTTCAATAACTTGTAACAGTTCAAGAGAGAATAAACCCTCGTGAGCCATTAAACTGTCTAATGAGAAGCTGTGAACCGTCCCGTTTCTATGACCTTAACAATGCTGTGTCTTTAAATGTATTACTTATTTATTTTTATTATTGTTTCCAAATGTGATATGAGATATCAAAAACACAGCACTAAAAGGCTCTTTGTCTTTCTACCGATGATAGGGTAAATTATATTTAAATATGGATAAAAAAAGAGCCAAAATCAAGTGAGTAGGGATACATTAAAGACAGCAGTGCATTAAAAGGGTTGCAATTAAACCTAAACTCAATACATAAAAACACTATGAGATTTGCATCGCTCACTGCGAAAAATGAATCATCTCCTGTGAGGTTTTAAGCATTCTGCTGATGTAGACTCAGAGTGATGCATGAGTATAAAAAGGTTTACAATCATGCTCAAGGACAGTTCACTGATATAAAAACGATACATAAGTCTGTCTTTGAAAAGTAATGGTGAAGGTCTTATCAATGAAAACCTGTCCATGTTTCAGATTTCTTAATAGTAACAATTTCATATAAAGAAACATCAAACCATGTACCACTGAAAACCACAATTTATTTTCATTTTAAGTGTAACGTATAGTGGACAGTGGCACAAAGAGTGAACTGTTGTTGGCTAATGACCAGCCTGAGGTCGCTACAAGTTTAAATTATTTGTGATTGTGATTTGAAAATCAATACAATTATGGATCTAATAATTCCTGTGATTAAATATTTAATAGTGATCAAAAAGTTCTGTTACTTATTTCCTGCCTGTCATAAATGGGGAAATAACTAACAAAAAATATCTTTTTAACTGTAATGATACACTAATTTATTTTAGTGTTTGTTTTCTGTTGTTTTTTTTTTTTTATTTCCTCACTATTGTCAGTGGTCATGAAATGCTTTGAACACTTATCTAAAGGAACAAGGTGGAGTTGAAGATAGAGAGGTGCACAGAAGTAACTGGCTTCTCAACATCTCGAAGAACAGAGGAATAAAACTGACTTTAGGAAAGGAGAAAGGAAAGCTTCCCACTGATCATCAATGGGTACTGGAGAGGGTAGCTTTCTGGGAATCCACATTGAGTGGAACTTGATCTGGAGAGTTAAACCTCTGAGCTGGTGAAGAAGGCCAGGAGAGACTGCACTTCCTGAGGGTTCTTCGGAAAAATAAGATCAGACTGCTGGTGGTCTTTAATTGCTACTCTATTGAGAGTATATTGACCTACTATTTGTGTGGTACAACAGCTGTACGGTGGCTTAGAAGAAAGTGCTCCAGAGGGTCAATAACGAAGCCAAAAGATTGCTGGCTATCCTCTCCCCACACTTCACAATTCCTGCTGGCCCAGATCATTATAATGGATGCTACTCACATGGGTCAAGCTCTGCATGTGAACTGTTACTATCAAACAGATGCTGCAGGTCCGGTACCTAGACCAAGGACAAGAGGGCTAAACGAGTTTCTATCCAACAGAAAAAGGTAAAGGAAATACAATATGATTATAAAGGGATATGCAATAATGGGAATTTATATTCTATGCCCTGACAACACAGCTTTTCCAATTCTATTTTACTTGTGACAATCACAGTAATACATATTCTATTCTATTCATTTCCCATCTATTCTGATTTGGTTTCTAAAATCAGAATAGGTGTGAAAAACTAAAATCAGAGCTTTTTTTCAGCAGATTTTATATTCAAATACAGACTAAGCAGTACATAGGCTAAAATACACACTTTTTATGGTTAAAAACATTTCAATAGCGTTAAGCAAATTGTTTTAGGGACAATATAAAAAATGAATATTCATAAAGTCATAAACAGCAAGAATAGACCCTGAAGGGTTTCCTTTACGAGTGCATTCTGTCCCACTTTGTTCCTAAAACAGTACTTCACTTTGGGCATCCTTAAATATTCATCAGCTTGGATGCCCCCGCCCTCCCTTCATATCAATGGCATTACCAACTATGGCATGTTCATTCTCTTTATCTCTTTCCTTTGTGTGTCTTTTTGGCTTTGGCTTCATTGTTTAATTCACTGAGTTGAAAACATAACTAATTTATTTGTTTTCCCTACATAAAATTCATGTTAGACAAAAGTGGCCTGGAAGCATGTTTCAAAATTTAATCACACGACTAAAGACCAAATACTTTGCTTTGTTCTGATATCATCTTTAAAATATTTTAAAATTGCCCTCTTAGAAGGTAAAAAAGAACAATATAAAATACACAATTTGACATATGAGTGTTTTGATGTTATTATAATTAACACATCACATAAACATTGATTTATATACATTTACAACTGTGTATGCACAGAGACATAAGCTATTTGACAGCATACAAGGATAAGCAAATAAAATGGGTTTATAGTACTTGGCTTTCAGACATACAACCACACACAGTACTAAATAATGTTGTATTTTGTTTATCCTGCCATGCCTAAACCTTTTTTATACAGATGGTCACTCTATTAGCGCCTTACCGCAAAACAGTTTGACATTTATTTGGACCCTTCGAATCAAACTCAATAATTCCAGTTACTGGTACTTTTTCTACTAAACCCCAGCTATGACCCATGATAACCTCTGGATTATGATCATTTGAGTCAATAATTAATACACATGAAATGTGTCAGATTTGTGGACAAATCCTCGTTTTTCAGCAAGCTTTGTTCAAAGTGTTAATGACATGACATAGCTGCAAACATTTCTTTAAATTGAAATTTACACTTCTTGAGATTCAGGTTTTCTATCTAATAACTACAGTTAAGTCAATAAAAGTG